GCAAGTTAGGAAGTTTAGGACCAAGGAGATTGCTTCAGTGAAAGTGCAGTGGAAGCACCAATCAGTGGGAGAGGCAACCTAGGAGAGAGAGTCTGACGTGCGTGTCAGATATCCTCAGTTACTCGATGCTTTAGTTACTTTCTTTTACTTTATGTTCGAGGACGAATATAAGCCTTAATAGTGGATATGTAATGACCCGAAAAATCATTTATGAAAATTTTGAATATTCGATTAACTAGAGTGAATTAATTGATGGTTAATTATTAAATAACTAACTTTAGTAAATGTTTAGTGGGTTAAAGTAAATTAATTTATTTGGAATTAATATATGGGTCACAACTAAAAAGGAAAAAAAAGAAAGAGAATGTGCGGCTATTGAAAAAAAAAAAGAGAACTCACCACGATAGAGAAACAGAGGAAATCGAAGCGAAATCAGTAAAGTAGTCAAACGTTTCTTTTTCAATGTAATTGTTATTTTGGTTGGATTATTGCTTATTGTTAATGTTATGTGTATTGTTGAAATATTGGAATGGAGAAAAAGAAAACTTGTCATAAATGGAAAAAATATTTCGGCCATAGTCCGTGGGAATTTGCGACTAATTTTGAATAGCAATTAATGTGTAATGATTGCTATACATTTAGATAACAATTACAAATTTGACGTGGTATATTCAGTGAGTGCATATGAAATTGTAAGGTTCGGAAGTTGGGCTTTTCTGTGAATGAGTGGTAATTTAATTTGATTTTTTAATATTATCACATTATGAGTTAAGTTTTGATATATTGAAATAGGTAATTAAATATTAGATCTATCGTATAATATGAATATCATTCGAATTATGATATTGGAAAAAGATGAAATTTAACCTTAAACTTGAAACTTGAAAAATATGATAGTTGAAATTTTAATTAGCATCAAGCCTTTACAAATTTCATTACAAATTTGGGTCTAGGCTAAACCTATAGTAACATGAGTGTTATTAGTTTCGAAATTTTATTGTGGCTATGTACTTGAATAGATTGTATTGATTTGGAAGTTCAACAAAAAGAGAAAGTTCAGGTCCCGGAGTAATTGTTCGGTTCTCTGTGGTAAGTGGATTTCTAAATCCTTGTTAAGCATATGAAATTCGTGTAGTTCCTTGTTTGATGTTTGAGAATGATTTGGAGGCTTATTGATTATGTGTTGATGTTGTATTACAATTGCATTGTTGTGAATTGTGCCTTGTTATCAAAATGATTATTTTCTCATTATTTATTTGAACATGTCATTTGCATTGCAACTGAGACGTAGTTGTGATAAGTGTTATATGATAAGAGGATGTATCATTTTGAGGGTCGTATCGCGCACTGCGATGGATATTATATTTCGAGGGACGTATCACGTGCCTCAATGGTTATTATCGAGGGTCATATTGCTCACCGCGATGGATGCATGGATAGATATGACCTCCATAGGTCCCAGACTGAGAGACAGTGGGTGTGTATCATTAGGGCAGACATGCATCACTATACTTGATATTGCATTTCATGGTAATACACATTTTTATTATTGATGAACTTGAACTTCTGTTTTCCTGATCTTATGAGTGCTTTTCTGTGAAATTTTTCACTGTTGAATATTAATTTGTTATTGAGAATATATAATATGCTAGAGTGTTGTTGTTGGGCTGGTTTTATGTAGATTATAGTGTGAAGGTTCGGATAGGGTGTAAGGAGTACACGTAATTTGTTCCCTTAGCTTGTGTTTAGAGGTTTGCTTGTTGGGTACCGCGTGGTTTTGTATTCATGCCTTGCTTCTACATATTTTTGTAAGTTACGAGCCCGGATCTTCTTCGTGATACCTTCTATTCTCTTCATTTTTGAGGCTTTTGGTGGAGATTTTGAGGTAGTTATTGTCATTTCAAGAGACCTTCTTGCTCTTGTTATTGATTTTGTTTTTACTTGAAAGACAACATTATTTAAGACTTCATATATTATTTCAATTCTAGTATTTATATTAGAGGTTTGTGCACGTGACAACCAGGTTTTGAGATTGAATTAAGTTGACTTGTTTTTCGTATTAGTAATTATTATTGGATTTTTTTACTTCCGCATTTTATCTAATTATTGGGTTTAGGTTGACTTGTCTTTGTGGAATAAGACGAGTGTCATCACATCCATTTTTGGGTCGTAACAATGGGATAAGTCTATATAAAGACAAAAATATCCCTCAAATCATATTAATTATTTCTTTTCATTTTCTTGATTTTTTGTGCTATATTTGTGCTACTAAATTTATTTAAATAAATTATCTTACAAATTATTTAGAGAGAGTTTTTTGTTACTAAATATATCCAATACAAATATGAAATGTGAGTTATTTAATATTTTCTAATTTAAAAAAAAATATATCACTAATTATTTGTATTTTGAATAATTTAAAAAATTAAATATGTATTAATATTAAAACTTGCAATTTTTATGTGTAAATGTAGATGATTTATTTAATTTTACCATTGTTGAAGGTATTTTTAATTTTAAAAGTAGTTGATTTTATCTTTTATAAATTGAAAATTGACATTTTGTGAGTGATCAATTTATTAAGATAAAAATTATTTATCCTCAGATAATTCAAGTAGAAAATTGGAAATACGACAACAAAATTATGCTTCTCGTAATTAGTTAGAAGGCCATAAAAAATATGTATTTTTTGACAATTATCCACCTTGACCCAATTTATAACAATTGAAGGGCATAACTGGAAAGAAGATTTTAGAAGTCTTCTAAACCAAACATAAGTTGAAGTTGAAAATAATGAATCAAACACTTGATAAAAATATAAAATGTATTACTAATTTCTGCACCACTAATCTATATATTAATATTCATTTTTATATCAAACGACGCATTAGTTCTTGTGTAGGGTAAATAAATCAAAATCTAGCACAATTAGAGTTTGTACGTATCATCAATTATACAACTTTGGAATTCCAAAGAGACAGAAGACTTACCTAACACACACACACACTCTAAACGAAATCTAACATACGATGAGTCTTCAATTAATTTAACCACCACGTTCCTTTCTCATGTTAAAGTACTACTAACACATTCCTACATTACCTGGCCCAATCACACGACTCCACATAAAGAATAATGTGATGGATAATACCCTTCATAATCTTATGTGACTAGTTACTCACTTTTCTTTTAAATAATAACACATAAAAAATAAAGTGCATTCCATCTCTCCTCTTTTACTATACTCATTACTCACTAGTCAATACAAAGAATCTTCACATTCTTTTAGTTATGTTATATACCCTTCGAATATTCCCTTTTTTAGTTCCTTCGCAGCATATACCCTTATTATTACTACTATTGTTTCTATAAACCTATTATCTTAACTGATTTAGTTTTTACTTGAACAAAAAATGCAAGCTTTTCGTAACTGTCCCGTTTGACCATAAGACGAAAGAAATTGGTTACCACGCTGTTGATGATGCTCTCGTTTTTGGTTTGCCGGATGGTGTTGCAGAATACATTAGTATCAATGTACGATTCGAGACAAGTGATTGAAGATGTGACAATACCGGTCTTGTATAATATCGAATTGGATTTATTCCAGAATTCTCTATCGACTGTGGTAACCGATGCATTGGAATTGTTTTCCTTTCTAAATTATAATAAGTCGATACTCCGGCAAAGTGTAATGAAATATCTTAGGGATTTTGGTTATAATGCCGCCATATGCAAAACAAAGTGGGGGAGTTCAGGTGGAGTTACGAGCGGAAATTACGAATTCATTGATGTAATTCGATCGGATTCGTCCAATCAAATGATTAATCATTACATCATCGACCTTGATTTTGCAGCAGAGTTTGAGATAGCAAGGCCTACAAATTATTACAAGCGTATGTTGCAATCATTGCGGAAGGCAAAAGTGAAGAAGTAATGGAGATATTGAAGGTAATGAGCGAGGCTGTTAGGCAATCGATGAGAAGCAAAGAGCTCCATATTCCTCCGCGGAGAAAACAAGTGGTTAGGTGCTTACAAACGGTCTGTAAACTCATCGGTTTTGTTACCGCCGATGAAGCAGAGTGATGTTGTTCAGTGTTGCTCTGTTGGGTTTAATGCTGCTGTTAACTGCTATTAATTGTTCCCCGCAACAACTCGTTTGTACTAGATAGATCATAGCTACAATATGTGAAAATTACTAATCAATACTTTTACTTCAAATGCTAATCTTATTCCATCCCATTTGATACTTTTTTATTTTATTTAATCTGTAACATAATTAAAATTTTCTTTCTTTAAAAAAAAAGAAAAAATGATTTCTAATCATAAATATATAAGAATTATATTAGACAAAAAGTTTAAAAATCTATTTTACAAATACCATGTCAAGTCATTTTATTGGACTGTACTGAGGTGATGATCAGTGTCCTTTTCTGATTATTACGGAGGAAGTTAAAACTCTTATCTAATTCAGGTAACAGCTAACAGGAGTCTGGAGAACCTATTGACGGCGGTGGCCCTATCTAACAGGAAAAATTTTACAATGGGAGAAGTCCAACCAACAATAGTTAGGTGACCCTCAATTGATTAACTGACACATAAATAAAGTTACATTTTTTTACCTTTTTATCATCTCCCTCTTACCTTATCTTTCTTTTTTTTTTAATTTTTATTTTCTTACTTCTAATAAATATTTCTTAATTTCATTTTCTTAAATTGTTGATATATTGAATAAAAGAATTAATAAATATTTATTTTATCACTAACTAAAAAAAATTAAGATAGAGTATTTAAAATACTAATATCATACAATATTTTTTAATAATATCAAATTAACTAAAATATATTTAGTGTTTCAATTAGTAGCACCTAAAAAACAAATTAATTCAAATTTAGTTTTTTATTTTTTTAAATTTTGTTTTACTTTATAGATTTATAGTCATTGTTACTTTATAAATTATGTTTTACTTTATATATTTAAATTCTCTTCTCCTCACCCTCTCTCTGCCTCCCTCTTCTCTCTCCCTTTTTCGGCAGCCCCCCCCCCTTCCTTCTCTCCTCATCTCCCTCTCGTTCTTCTTCCCCTCTTTCTCTCTCCCGTCCTTCTCCCCTCTCCCGTTGTTCCCCTTTCTCCCTCTTTCTCCCCATTACCTTTTCTCCCCTCCTGTCTCTTCTCTTCCCCTTCCTCTGTTCCTATCTCTTCTTCTTTTGCAGTCAGCAGGTTCCGGCGAGCAGGAATAGCTCGACCCAGCAACAACTCAAAGTAGCCGCCTCCATCTCCCCTTCTCCCATCGTTCCTCTTCTTCTTCTCCCTTTCTCCACCTCCCTCTTCCCCTCTTTGCTCTCTATTTCTCCTTCTATCTTCCCCTTCTTCTTCTCCTTTCTTTTCTTCTCCTTTTGCAATCAGCAACCAGCGAGACAGCAGCTCGCTCGTCCTCTCAATTTTCCAGGTGAGGCGACCAGCATCTCTGGCCGGCGAAGCAACAACTCCGACCAACAACCCCGTTTCCCCATCTGGCTCAGGTAGCCTGCAACAGCAAGCAGCAGCCACACGAGGACGGGAGATTTCAGCAACCAGTAGCTCTGCGACAGCAATAGCCGTGAGCAGCTCCGACGAGGTTCGAGATGCCCGAAACTTGCACTAAGGCGGCTCTTGACAGATCCGCTTAGGTTTGTTTTTGTTTAATTATTGGTTGTCTTCTGAAAGTTCGCTTATTTTTCGTATATGATTTCATGATATTCTTATCAATAATAGTTGATAATGTTCTTCTAAGCATGAATATTAAGATCCTATGAACATTTGCTCTATAATCGCATATTCGGATTGATTCAAATATTTGCTCATATTTTCATCACTTTATCATATGCATGTATATGTTTGTGTTCTTGTTAGATGGATATTAACATCTAAATTTTTATGATTTTGAAAGGTTCCCTCAACTAAGTTTTTCTATTAATTAATTTTTTGTTTTTACTTTAATTTTGTACATTCTTTGTTAATGATAAAGTGTTAATGGTAAGGGATTACTGCAAGAATTTAATAAGTTGATTGATGTTTCCTCTAATTGCTCATGAACAGATTTCTCCTTTACAAATTATGGATGATTACTAATATATCCTTCTTGCCTTAGTTTTGAATAAGATAGACATATTTTACATGGTAAGAATATATATTTGATAATTGGTAAAAAGCTGATTAATTCACATGTTTATTGGACTAATATTTATTTATTTATATTACCTTTAATTTAGAGCATATTCTTACTTGTAACATGATGGTTAAGTATATATATAATTTGTATATGAATATTTCTTTTCTTACTTTCTTTTATATTGCATTAATTGGATATCCTCAATTATTTATTTGCTTGTCTCAAATAAATTAAAAATAGAGTTTTACTTGCTTTATTTTGGTAAATTGTGAATTATTATGGTAAAATATTTCATTGATTTGGTAATGTTTTATCTAAGAAAATTATATTTGTCCTTTCTAAATTTTATTTCTTACTTGCATAAATTCGATAATTCTTTTTGTCTCTCTTAAAATAAGAATAATATTAATTGATCACTTTTTCCATTAATAGTTGACTTGACTAATTCTCACTTGTTTATATATGACTTTAAATTATTTCCTTGTAATATTTAGTTGCTCATATATATTTGGAAAATATATTTTTATTCATAATTTTTCATATTTTTGGTAATGAAATATTCTTAAAATTTTTTATTTTAGCTCTTCTTTATCTAAGGAAAAAATGTTATTACTTTCTCTTAATTTATTCTTACTTGCTTATATTTGGTAAAATATAATTTTAAAAAATCTGACTTTTAGCTCTCATTTAAAATAAGAAAACTGTGATTAATTGATTCCTTTAAATATTTCTCTTTCTTATTTGTTTCCTCCTCTTTGCTATATAAACAAGACTCTCCTCTCATTTACTGATTCACTCACATTGACTCTCTAACAAGTTTCTCTCACACACTCACATCTTGAGAAGAACTCACATTCTCCCAACTCACACTAAACTCATTCATTCTCTCTCTCAACACAAGAACTAGACTCTTCACCCTCATTTTGCTTTCTTGCTACTCTAAAAATAATAATTAAGATTCCGGTAAAATATTCAAGCTCTTCTTTGCTACTTTGCTTTTGTTCAAATAAAAGTTGGATCAACTTGTTTTCATTGCTACTATTTCGTTTCTGCTTAACCGGTTAATATTCTTAATTAGCATTTTACTATTAGTCAACTCTCTATTTTTTTTAATTTTTTGTTTTGCATCTATTATTATTGTTATGTGTTGGGAATAAAAGGAAACACTACTTATCTTTTTCCCCTATGTGTATTGATATGTCTATGCCTATATTTTGTCATTTTTACTTCTTAGTGTGTTGTTTATCTATGTATATATGAGAGTAATTTGTTACTATGAATATTTTACATTACAATCATTCTTCCATTGTACATGTGTTACCTTACTTATTCTAGCAGGTTTTGCACTTAAAGTTCAAGATGATGAAGAGTGGCCTAGAAGAAATTTCGGACAAAGCTTTGTTTGTTTTAATGTTGTGTATATTTTCATCTGTTATTTTTATTACAACATATGTATAACTCTAAAGCAACTCTTATATATGAAGCAATTTGGGGGATCGCCTAGGGAGGGGGAATTATGTGTTAATCATCTTCTGTTTCTTATTTTCTGCAAACTTATTTGTGTTAGAAAGCATGCCTATAGGTCCGCTCAATCATTTAGTTTAACTCTGCTAAATTAATGTTTGAAATTAATTTTATTCAAATTGGCATATTAAGTAATGAGTTATGATTAATTCACTAAAATGTTAATAACTTATGTGCATTTTAGTTATCCATTGAATAAATCAAGCATTCATATGTCATTTGGAGTTAGAAATCATGCTTATAGGTGTTATTTAAATATGTTGATTATTAAATCATCTAGAAATCATGTTATAGGAAGTATTAACTATTTTTACTCGTTTAAATTTTGTGCATATAATATAATAAGGAGATGTGTATCAGAGATAGGAATGAACATCTTAAGTTATTTTCATGATGGAGTTGCTGGAGGACATTACAGAGGAAGAAAAACAGCCGCAAAAGTACTCGAAGTAGGTTTTTTCTGGCCCGCTCTATTTAAAGATGCAAGAAATTATGTCATCGCTTGCGATAAATTCCAAAGAAGTGATAACATTTCAAAAAGGAGTGAAAACCTCTTAACTCTATTTAGGTATGAGAAAGTTGATGTTTGGGGAATCAATTTTATGGGTCCGTTTCCTCCGCCAAATGATCCTGAATACATTTTAGTGGTTGTTGACTATGTCTCAAGTGGATAGAAACAGTAGCTACTAGAAAAAATGATAATTGTATTGTTTATGATTTTCTTAAAAAGAATATATTTTCTAAATTCGGAACTCCATGAGTTATCATAAGTGATCACGTAACTCAATCTGTAAATAAATCATTCGCTAGTTTATTGTCAAGATATGGAGTAACTCATAAATAGGAACTCCATATCATGCTCAAACAAACGGGCAAGTAGAAGTATCCAACAGGGAATTAAAAGAATTTTAGAGAAAACTATTGGATGTTCTCAAAAAGTTTAGTCTATAAGATTAGATGATGCCTTGTGGGTGTATAGAACAACTTTCAAAACACCTATTGGCACATCTCCTTATAGATTATTCTTTGAATAAGTTGTCATTTACCTGTTGAATTTGAACATAAAGCTTATTGGCTATAAAGTTGTTTAATCTGAATTTGTCAGATGCATGTAAAAAATATTTTTGCAACTTGATGAACTCGATGATTTCAAACTTGAAGCATATGAAAATGCTAAATTATACAAAGAGAAGACAAAAAGATGACATCACAACCTCATTCTTCATAGAGAATTTAAAATTGGAGATCATGTTCTATTGTACAATAGTCAATTGTGACTATTTTCAGAAAAATTCAAGTCACGTTGGACAGGACCGTACATTGTAACATAAGTGACCCCTTATTGTGCAAACGAAATACAACATAGTAATGGGGGAGAAAAATTCAAAGTAAATGGTCACGGTTGAAATCTTATGTCACCAAAATTTTGACACCAAACGTCAACAATTTTTTGTTCCTAGAATAATATTTAAAAATTTGAGTTGGCGATATTAAATTCAGTAGGTCAAACCCATTGACGACCCCGTAAAATTGGCACCACGTTTCACATAGGCACCTCAACTAGACGATATTCATTTTAGACACTTTACGTAGGATCTTATTATGTTATTTTGACACTTTTTGCTGAGTTGGAATATTATGTGTGTTACACTTACTTTGACCGCATGAAAGATATAATTTGATGATTTTAAAACTTTTTTATTTCTTTTGCTTCCTTCTCTCTTCTTCCCACACTTCGTCCACCATATACCACCACCTCGCCACAGTTGTATATTCAATTTTCTCCTCTCTTTGTCATTTCTTGATGTGGAAATATAAAAACAAAAATAATTTTAAAAAGGACCAAAAAAATTCAAATGTTTGTTGATCTATTTTTACCCCTCTCTATTTGAGTTAATATTTTTCAGATTTAATTTTTTGAAATATTAATTTTCTACTTCTCAAAGCTTTTAAATTTTTATATTCTGATGAACCCATTTCAAGTAAATTCATAAATAGATCTGATTTTATCATGGATAAATTTTTTTGGGATATTTTAAAACTTTAAAAACGAGCAGTTCCAATGGTGAAGGTGATTGATGGAAAAAAAAAGGGAAAATGCACAAGTACCCCCTCAACCTATGTCCGAAATCTTAGAGACACACTTATACTATACTAAGGTCCTATTACCCCCCTGAACTTATTTTATAAGTAATTTTCTACCCTTTTTAGCTTACGTGGCACTAGTTTGAAAGAAAAAGTCAACCATCGTTGGGCCCACAGGATAGTGCCACGTAGGCTAAAAAGGGGTAAAAATTATTAATTAAATAAGTTCAGGGGGTAATAGGACCTTAGTATAGTATAAGTGTGTCTCTGAGATTTCGGGCATAGATTGAGGGGGTACTTGGACATTATCCCAAAAAAAAAGATGAATTTGAAGGATTGAAGAGATGGTAAATAGTATGATAGTTAGATTATCGGTATTTGCTTATGACTCAAATTGATTATATAGATTTGAAGAAAAATATGATAGTAGCGATAATCTTCAAACTAGAACAAGAAGGCATCAAAGTAATAGTGGTTAGAGGAGGAAGGGATGTGGAAATGGTGAAGGATGAAATGGTAGAGGAGAAAAATAAAGGTGTTGTAGATTTTATTTTTTTCTTTTTCTTCTTTATTGAAAGGTAATTTTTAAAGTAATTAATTAATTAAATATTTTTAAAATAGGTTTTTTATTCATAATATATTTTTAAAATTATTTTTATATATATGTGCCAGCATGACATTATTTAATTCGCTACTTTGACACGTCATCTACAAGTGTAATACACATCATATATAGTTGGCTAGTTGTCAAAAACGTGTCAATATGACACAGCGTCCCCCTACTTAAGTTGTTTAAAATGAATTAATCCTACTTGAGGTGTCCAAGTGAAAATTGCTATCAACTTTAGGTGGCTACCAATGGGTTAGGCCAATTCAGAATTTTCTTCTTTCCTCTTTCATATATATGTTTGTATGCGTATCTGTGTGTGCGCGCGCGCACGCGCGCGCGTGCGTCCATGTGTGTGGAGGTGTGGGTGCGGGTGTGTTTGTGTGTTTTCCTTAATGATTTTGTTCTTTATAGCAGAGGATTCCCAGAACCGAGAAAACATGGAATAATTCAAAATTGGGGATACAGTTCAAAAAAAATATATCAGGAAAGCATTTTTTTAAATTTAGTTTGTCATGGGGACATGACATTGTTTGAGTGTGGAGTATATGAATATGTTTGTGGGAGTAACCGTTATACATATTATGTGTTTTTTTTTATTAAAAAAAATAATTCAAAAAAAAGTGTGTATTTTTTTAATTGAAAAAAAAATATAATATATTTTTGAGAGTAAACGTTATATATATTATATGTGTGTTTTTTATTTAAAAAATAATAATTCAAAAAAATGTGTGTATTTTTTAGTTTATTTTTTTTAAAAATAAAATAAAATTTGGCTTAATTGACATTGTTTCTATTGGAGTGGTTGTATTTTGACCCTCCTTGATATATTCAGCAAACGCAATCGTAGGGTAACTTCTAACCTCAATTGACATAACCTAATTTCATCATTCACTAAATATTCGTACATGTTGTAACAACAATATTAAATGCATTTTTCAAAGTAATATTGTTCATTATCTAGCTGTCCCTTACCAAAACTTCTTGAATGTTGTCACCAATATATACACAAGCGACGATAGTAGCTAGCTAGCCCCACAAAACTCTTAATCTCAGTCACAAATCTAGGTCAGACCTAATTCCCGAATGCTTCAATATTTTGGGGATCTACTATTACCTCTTTCCTTGAAATTACATGCCCCAAAATGGCAACCGAAGTCTATCAAAATTCACACTTAAAAATTTTTGTCATACAACTTTTGTTTCCAAAGACCACCCAGAATAATACGAAGATGGTCGACATGATCTTCCTCACTTTTTTATTATACCAAAATATCATTAATAATTACTATAACAAACAAATTACGTCATTGTTTGAACACACCATTCATCAAGCTCACAAAATATGCAGGCACATTTGTCAACCTAAACGAATAACTAGTAACTCATTGTGCCCAAAGCGGGTTTTAAATGTCCTTTTTGATACATCCTCACGCCTAATCTTTAACTGATGATAGACAGACCTTAGAGAAAATTGATGCACACTGCAAATCCTCAGAAGATCATCTATCCAAGGCAGTGGATACTTGTACCGAATAGTGACCCTAGTCGACTGTCGACAGTCCATACATATCCTCTCTATCTAGTGACGATGTTACCACTTTGTTGCTCTCGTCTGGACTATAGAATGAAGGAGGAAAGATACCAATTTGGATCACCCAGATACCAATTGGATTCAAGTCATAGCACGAAGGAGTAGAAAGAAGTAAGTTTCCTACAATCCTATAGACTCTCGAAGAAAAGTACGTTCGTCTTCGTACCATTTCGCAAGACTCTATTAGACTAATTTGTGTACAATGATATCAACGAACCTAGGGCTTTGCTACCAATTTTTTACGACCTAGACTGTCGTGATTGACACCCACACTAACTCTTCAGTGGGAGAATCATTACTACGACCCAACTAACCAAATTAATGAAAACTAAAGTATTTAAAGATACAAAAGCAAGTGTGAATGCAGAAATTATATAGAGTTCCCATAAATTCCAAAGGTTTCAATAGACTAGCCAAACTAATGCGGAAGAACAACCCCTAGAACCTGAAAGTTATTGTACCAAAACTCTATTAACGGCAAGTCTAAGAAATGGGGTACAACTCTGAAAGTAAACAAATACCTTAAATAAATAGTCTGAGTCCGAAAAGAGTGAACTTAAATAACAAATATCCATGGCAGCCTAAAAGTATGTCTCACCCTTGGATCCGATTACGCTATATAATCACCTAGTTGAGGTCTATAGATAGTCGCATGAAGATTCTCTTTACTTAAACAAAGAACAAGCAAGTGGAGTATTAGTACACAATTAGAGTGTACTAGTAGGATTACACGACTATTCCAATAAGCACAACATATATCATAATTACAACAAGGTAAACACATACATGGACAGAGTATATATACATATCGGTTATCACTTAAAAACAACGTATAATTTCACAATTCTCAAGAACAAGTTGATATAACAAATCAATGGTTATATCATGGAACCCAATTCAATGGTCCTCTCATGAAACTCATACCCAAGGTATTAGTGTACCAGATCGCGACACCCATTTCAAGTTAGCGTGTTGGAATGCGATACCCGTTCTAATGTTTATGCCAGTATGTGGAAATCGATCCTAGTTAGTGCGTCGGAATGTGAAACACACTTCATTCAACAAACCACAATCACAACCACGATGTATATTTTCACAATCATATAAGAAGTGATGATTCATGCCATGTAGTTTTTTCGTTCATACCTAATTACATTAGATGTGATCAATAAGCTTCATTCACATACATACATGCAATACAATGACGCAACTAGTAACATACATAATGCAAAACATGAAATCACAACCATCACCTACCTCAAATCAAAGCTTGAATCCCCTATGACACTTGAATCATACCATTTCTGATTTTTTCGCTTGTTTGTGGTCTAAAAACATA